GAAATCACGTACCCTTTAAGCCACTCGTCTTGCAAAAGTTACGTAGTTCAGGAGGGCAGACTCCATATTATAATTATTTAATTTTCATCATCCCGTCTGTAGTGAATAGTTTGTATTTCCTGAGCTATGAGCATAGCCATCTCTCTGGTGCCCGCAGCAATCACTCGGCAGGACATAAGATCCAGAGGTCCCCCTGAGGACAAAAGGATTGATAAAAACTGTCTTAGGTGATGTAAAAAGGCAATGTATTCTTAAATATAAACCATGCTGTAATTAGATAGGTTCCAAAACACTGAAACAACTTCACATGTAGCTCCTTTTGGGGTGGGAAGGACAGCCTAATTCAGCAACCCCTATCTGGAAATCTTCGGCAACAAATGACTTCAGAAAATTCTAGATACAGTGCCAAAGTATGCAACAAAAGTAGCAAATGTCTAGATTTGTTCACTATCCAACAATAAATGCAATATTCCCTTCTTCTAGCAACAGGAAGGGATAAACCAGAAATCAGTTCAGTCACCATACCCTTCTTCTTAATCCACAGTATCTTTCCACAGTATCCACATACTGGCCACCAGTAAACCATTGCTCCGAGATGTGTACCATCTAAATGAATAAAATAATAATCCGGAGACTGTGCTATCCTTTACTCCCTCTGAGTATTTCCCAGTCATACATGTTCAGACATGTACCTGAGAGTCCAGCTTTCTTGGGAGGCTGTCTCTGCTGAAATCTGTTTGGAGTCTGAGCATATCTACCGATCTCCTGGGCTAGTTCTTTACTGTAAATCTGATGCTTTGAAGGAATGACTCAAAGTCATGGAAATACAGTTTGACTCAGAAGACCTTTGATGTGATGAAACCCCAGGCTGGAATTACATCAGTGTGTTACAAATAACCAGCCAGAATCTCGTGGAGAGCACAGACATTTCTACAGAATATTGCTAGAAATGAGAGCGCGCCACAGGAGGAGGACTGTGCTGAGGTAACACAAGTTGCCCCGAAATAGCCACCCAGTCCCCCAAAAGTCAATGAAAACAAGGATATTTTACTCACCTGAAGTGTCTATCACAGTGCCACCCGCCTCTCTAATAATGACAGTCGCCGCTGCCAAGTCCCAGCAGTGTAACCCAAACTGGTAATAGGCATCTGCAGCGCCGGATGCCAAATGGCACAGAGCCAGGGTTGAGCTCCCAATGACACGGACCCTAAACCCCGCGAGAAGGGGACATAGTGACATAAAGCAGAAAATACCTTTGATTTCAACCTACATGCCAAGATTGCAAAATGTGCAATGCGCTTGTTTGTTTCTGTTGTGTTTTTTTTTTTTAAATGACTTTTGGTCACAAATGTGAGACATATATTGTAAAGTATCTTACCCGTGTGCTTGGGCCTTCAGCAATCTCTCAATGTTACCAAGGAACAATTTCAAAGTTGCAGGGTCACGTTTTGGACCAATTTCTGTTAAAATTAACGCCTTCGAGATATCTGCAATGTAGGTAGTTGTTTCCATTAATTCAACAGCTTCCAGACAGATTCTGAAAATTTGTTTTTAAATTAAACACTAATGGACTTTTCACAGAAAAATAATTTTCATGTCCCTTCTTTTACCCCAAACTCTTTCAAAGGACAACAGACAACTTTGCATAAAAATTCAAGCAAGACTAGATTTCTGATATCAGATGGTCTGATCTAAACACACTTTAAAAAAAAGAAGAACAGGAAGATTAAAAAGAAGAATGCATTCTTACATTTCTTCTCTTTTCATACATTGTTTTATTTCATTGACCGGTCACCTTTTGGCAAATTCACTAACATTAGCAGTCAACTAAAAATAATCCAGTGACCTAGTAACTATTAATGATGCAAATCTAATCATATTTGAAAACAAGATCATTCTTGAATAGGCAACGTCAATGTAATTTTTTAACAAATTATAAATGTTTGGGAATACAGTAAGAGGAAAGAAAAGTTTCTGCCTAAATCACCAGTCACCCGGTAAAAGCTCCCTTTCATTCTGACATTTCAAAGACTGGAGACGCCTTATGACTGAAAAAAATGCTTTCTTGTCATGAACTAAAGCAGTATCTTAATTAATAATAAGATATGAATGTTATATTTGTATTGTGTTTGGCAAGGGCAATTCTGACCTACAGCGGATGAGGATCAGCCTTGTGTACATACAGTCAAAGGAGAGACTCACAGTGACTTCCAAGGTGCTGAAGTAGTCCTCACGTGAGATCTGAATATTGCTAGTATATAACAAGCGTGTGCCAATGTAGGTGATGGTTGATGAAATGCCAAGCATCCCTGCTTCTGCTGTGCCAGCTGAACTTGGAGGCGTTAAAGATATGACAAAACTCAAAGGTTTAGCAGTTGATTACTTCCAAACTAGGCTATGCCCAAGTGTCAGGTGTCACCTTCTACCCTGGGTTAAAGGCTAGGTGTTCAGATAGGGAATGTCTACCTGGTTATTACGGCTAATTGCATAAGTTGAAAATTCTTAGCAGAACTAGCAAGGAGGTTTTCAAAAGCAAATTAGGCTGTAGTGAGACACCATTTAATTAAACAGGCTACCAACGAATTTAGTATTGCAGAGGAACTTTACGGATTCAAGCAATGCGGTAAATGGTTGGTGAGTAACAGGTATGTAATTAGATTAAAAGTTACAGGGTATCACAAAGCTTAACATAGATTTAACAACCACTTTTTAAATTACTGCATTAGAATATAGAAACACCAATCCAGGCACGCTGCGGGGTATTCGTTGTTTAGCCACCACTGAAAACTCTGGATGGTGAAAGCAATCTGCCTTAGATCTTTTTGCATAACAGACCCAATTTATAATTACAGAACATTTAATGCATGCCTCATTGCTGAAATGCACCAAGCATTCACACCACACCACTCATAGCTGGTCATGACTAAGACAGTTGTTCTTTTGAGTTATTAAATATATTTCTAATGCATAAAAGGATCTTTTCAATTTTCATCAAGGCTACAGGTAGAAATTGGATGAAGAGACTAAGGCAAGGAAGAAGGAGGTCTCTGCTTAGGAAAAGAAGCTGGTTGATCACTAGACTCGATGGGGTTTCAGGAATTCAAGGTACAAGAGAAAATTTACTGACTACTCACTCTGATAAGGGCCAGAAAAATAAGGAGGCTTGGTAGAAGAGATTTAACAGTGATATGGATAGATTCTTGAGGAAAAGACCAATTCTGTTCACCACAGAAGATTAAAAAAAGAAAATACACTTACAATATTAGCACATGTAAGGCCTGATCCTGAATCTAAGTATGAGAAGAAAGTATCACTCAAGATCAAAGGGAAGATGGATCCTCCATTTAGGTGTGTCCTGACTTCCTGGACTCCCATACCAGACCTCTACAAAATTTGGCATTGACAAAGAACAGTGTTTGCCTGGACTGTGATTTCAAAAGATTAAATCTGAACAATGAATGTATAGCGTCGATCAATGTTATACAACAGTCACGTTTCCTGAAAATAAAAGGCATGAAGTAACATGACAGCCTAGATCTCCAACACATCATGCATTGGTGAAGTCTACTTAAGTTCCAGTGGTAGGTACAGGGAAACGCGCTCTCTGTTCCGGGGTTGGCTTATTTCACTTACAGGAAAAGAGCAACTGTGATTTTATACACACTTAAAACATCAGTAGGAGTGAGACTAAAGAAGATTCATCTTCACTGGTGAAATTGCCCACCACTGAATGATGCCTCTCAAAACACAGGAAAATTTCACAGCATTTGGAAGAAGAGAAGGTCCACGTCCCTTGCTATGTTCTACACTATGCCCACATAGACTGGATGTCCAAGAAAGGAGGACAAAAGTGGCATGTGCCAAAACTGTTCCTTGCTCAACTGGAAACCAGAACTCCCTGACTACAAAAGCAAGTGAGGCCATTTCAAGAGCGGCTCAGCCAGCCCAACTGGTAGCACCCCTAGCTTTTCCTAACAGTCTCTGCCAGCATGGGCTTTTGTGGAATATGAGATATTGGAGCACTGACAAAAAATGCAACATATAATCAAGGATTAATATCTTAGGGGTCACTAACTTTACAATTTGCTCCATCTCTCCAAACAGGGAGACCCCAGCTCACTATTAATTTAGGTGAATAGCCAAACTTCCCAAATTTCAGGGAAGTTTTGATGCAGCGTCTGCTTGGGGCATTAGAACAAATCTGTACGTTATATTGCTTGAACTTACTGTGTTTCAAGTTAATGAAATCTCTCTTGGGGGTAAAATTTTTACCATCTCCTGTGTGCAATGATGAACATCTTTGGCACATGTCTGCTTCTGTCTACAACTGTGTATTATGTTTTCCTCTGCATTTTGATTGATTAAAAAAAAACTTCTCTACACACATCTATTATAATTAGGTAAACAGACAGATCTATGACTTGGTTTACCAATAAAAGAATTCCCTTAAAGCATTGACTAAGTGTTGCTAGCTATTGGTATGTTGAAACATACCTCACCACACAAAACCAAGATGTTAAAGACCCCCTAATGAAGCATGCATCCTTTAGTTTACCATTAGCATGTATGCCTACAGACAGAATACACTTTATGACATACAAGTTTATTGGAAAACAAATGAATAACAGCCTCCATAGTACTCTGAATTTGATTCACCATTCCCATTGCATCTTGCTCATAAAAAGTTATGCCAGTGTACAGCTGGAATGAAACTGGTGAATCTACTCATTCTTCCTTATTTTAAATAATGGTTATGAAGCAAAATAATTCAGGATTATTTAAATAATTCATATTCAGATGTATAGTTTTAAAAGAAAATGAGGAAAGTTGTGATTTTTCAGAAAAAACAAACACATAACAACAAAATTATCATGCAGGTGAAATACTTTCCATCAGGATAATGATGTTCATTATCCTAATGATGATTTGCAACAACTCTGAAACAAAATTAACATATTCCTTTTAGAGTTCTAACAAAATCTAGACCAACCTGTCTCTTTTGATACCTGAAGCCTTTTGTCATTACAAAATGCCCCTTGACCTCTTCTACCAGTGTATAATCGTTCTTCAGTGCAGTGGTAAATTACACCAAATTCAAGCTTTAAGATTTTGAAAAGGAAAGAAATGAATGCAACTCAAATTACTCATCATAAATATAAACAACTACTAATGGCAGAAAGATCAGCAATATTTTAATTGGTACATGTAATCAAAGATTATATTGATGCTAATAAACTGGAATAATTTCACTATTACTCTGATATTGAGATATAGGTCACATAAAATTCAGTTTATAAAAAGAAGTTAATGCAATCTGTTCATGATCTTCTAAGCCCTTACTTGCAGCTTGTTTGTATTCACATAAGAATGGATTAAATGCTAAGTTGATTTCAAATTCAACTGTATGTTTTTGTTGAAAGTATGCAAGTCCTCTAAGGCCAGATTCTGAATGCTTTACTTTCACTGGAGAGCAGTTACACCTATGAGTAATCCCACTGACTTCAGCTGGACCCTGAAGATTTGCAGCCCCAAATACATAGGTATGATCAGTCAGGCATCCAAACTCAGAAGTCATGGCACACTGCTTATTAACAGTGGATGCTTTTGTATGCACTTCACCTTTCATGATGCATTTAATTTGCCAGCCTTTTCAACCAAAGCAGTACACTCCAGTCACTTGTTCAAACGTTTCTCTGCAAAATCCTTTTGTTTACACATAAAAGTGAGAATCTCATGAAGTCACACAACTCCAAGAGAATGAGTTCGAAGAGAAATACCAAATATTGTGACCCTCAATGAAAGCTTGAGAATGAGCAACACTTGAATTTTTGTGGGAGTATCTGTTTACCAGTGAGAAGAGGGTCAGAATTTGACCCTTGGTTTAAACCCAAGGTATTTAATATTTCCATTACTTTAATAGGTAATTTACTTTTTAATTTACACTTTACAAACTTCAGTGATCAGCTCCTAAAATCACCCCTAGATGAGTACTACTAGCAATATTTTACTTAGGGGTGGACAGATACACAAAAATTAAGTGACGTGCCCAAGGTCACAGAATTTGGCATCAAGGTTGAGAAAACATCTCATAGATTCTAGACTCCAAATCTTTTCCTGCCGCCCTTCTCCATTCAATGTGAATAATCAAAAGTCTTCATCAGAGATAATTCAAAGGGAATAGACTGTCCTCGCTCCCTACCCTGAGGTCCCATCTAAACCAGTGGGTTTTTTTGAGGAACACACTATTAATAGACTCTGTCCCTGAAGACATCTGCATGAATTTCTTCAGTACTGTTCCAGGCTTACATTCAGGCCAGTTCCCCTGTGTGTGTTCTTTGGCTCCTTTTCAGCTTACTACTTTTTTCTGCTTTTCCCATTTGTTTACTGAGGGAGATTTAACATCATTGTTTATTTTTGTTTCAGCTTTGTTTAGTTTACATAACCCAAAATATGCAGCATCAAAATCAGGATGGTGTTCTAGAAAACATAAATATTAGAGAAAGCTGTCTGGTAATAAGATGTAATATTCAAAAGGACCTTTGGGAATGAATAAACTTCAGAAAAGCATGGAAGTGTTTCTCTGCAGTTTCCATGATTGAAAACTAACTAGAGAAGTACATAACATGATTCTGCTTAAATCAGTAAGAGCCACTACTAGCACATCTGAAAACTATGTTGTTATTGCACAGAATTCTTGCTGGCTTCACTTAAAGCTATACATATACTTAAGATCGTGGAATTAGGCTGAGAGAGGCACATTCCTCGGCAATTTGAATAGCTATTTCTTCTGTATATATCAAACTGTAAACTGGCAACATCTGGAGAAAAGGCACTAGCATGAACGAGTATAGCTAGGAAACTCAAAATGGCACATATGAAGGCTAGATGCTTTTTTTTTCCCCCGTAATCAAACTCTCATGTGGCAAATAGAGTTATTCTACCATGTTAAGAAAACCACAAAGGCAGATTAAATGAACTAGGCCCATAATTTTGCACTCTTCATAGAAATCAGTTCTGAGTTGCCTCATAGCAGCAGTTAGCTTTCACAGCTACTGCTAGCAGGAAAGAAGCAATAATAACAACAACATAGGAGCACTGAGAGACATGTTTAAATTATGAATAGGCAGCACTATATTTAACTCATTATGGTTTTGTCTTACAAAACCTTGCTCATACCAGTACTCCCTTTTTCCCCCATATAAATCCTATAATATTTATAATAATTTGTAAGAATTGTCTTGTAATTGCCAGTTTGCGTAAGTAAGTTTTGCAGGACTGTGATTTTAGAGTAGTTGAGTATGATCAAATGCATTTAAAAAGCATGGAAAAACCTGAGTAGTGGCTGATTTTTTAATAAAAATTATTTTATTTAAAGTTCCCACATGGTTTTAGGGCTCCTAACCAGCTCTCTGGTACCCATCTTAAAGAACATACTTCATACCTCTTTGTTAACAGCAAATCCAATGCTCACTGCCACTGTTGGAAATCTGTGAAAATTAAGAAATGAAGTATTACTGATGAAAAATCTCTCAATTTACTCCTTATGCAACTCCCTTAGGCAACACAACCCCACATGGAGCTCTGTGATTTTACTTGTGTCAAAATGCTCTTGACACTGTACTATTTCTCCTTTGTCAGCCTCTTTAACGTTGTCAGTTCCTTTAAAAATGTAATTTAATATTGGAGAAGGCAAGAAATAAACACATTAATATATCAGGATTTTTATACTGAACATGTATATTTTAGTTATCTTTTTGCTTGGATGTAATTGAATTATCCAGTATAAAATCATTAATGTTGTGATAACAAGTCATCACTTTTAAAAGCATATTTTGTTCAAGCATCTGGGACAGCAATTCAGCAGCATGGAGATACCTTGCTGCTGACATCAACGTGAGGAGAAACCAGTTCCTCTACCCTCTCTTTTGTCAAAGCGATGATCATGTGTTTAATTCGGTCCTTTTGACTAAAGTATAATTACTGCATTATAAACAATGAAATAAATTCAGTTCTTAAAAACATGTTTTAAAAAGGGCTGTAAAGGTCAAAAAATACTGCTAGAAAGAGAAAATTTCACTTAACTGCATGAAGCACCAGCACATGACACCCCTCCCACCTCCCCTTGAATTCTATGTAATTGCACCAAAGCCAAGGAAATGCTTTTTTTTTTTTTTTTTTGTAATGATAACTGCAGTTATGTTAAAGACACTAGCTATAATGCAGAACATATTTAAGGTTTTTAAGCAGAAGCATTATGAATAGTCATTAGTTTACAACTCCTAGCACCCAACTGATGAATCAAACTTTTGCATTTTTGCAGTAACGATCCCTAGATTCTTTGTGCAGAGAGGTATTATAGAAATTTAAAACCAGTACCTATGTACAACTTAGTTTTCAGTTCCACTCTACATATGTGCAGTGGTTGTACTTCCCAGGAAAAATGAAGCATTTGTATTTGAAAGGGAGAAAGCACCACTACTAAAAGGAATGTGTAACAACCACATAAGGCGTTAGGCCAAGTGTCATCATAGCACAGCCTTGTTCCTCCAGTTCAGCTCAAGTCTCTGCACGTTAATGTGCGGTTATAATGAGCTGTGAGTCAAGAGCTTTGGGTCATTAAGCAATCAGCAGAAACTTCAGTTTACCTTTAGATAACAGTATGGAGCTCTCTCCAGCAAAAACACACACTCCCTCAGATATACTACGCAAGGTACAAAAAGATAAAGGCATGACTCCTGCTTATGAGTCAAAGGAACAAATCTACCACAGTGAAACACCTTTAAGCAGAAGGGAGGATTTGTGAGAAGCTACATTTCGCTTTTTTATGTACTTCCCAGTTCACTGTCTGCTTACCTGTGCACAAAGTTGCACGTTCCATCAACAGGGTCAATAATCCAGGTCGGACTGTCGGTGAGGACACATTTCGAACCAGCAGCAGTGGATTCTTCTGCAATAAACCTGCATTTGGTGTGGAGTAAAACAAGTGTTCCAGAAAACTGGCTTAGGTATGTGACTTGGAAAGTCAAACGCCATCTTTCTGTTTTTGAAGAGATACTTCATTTATACACACACACTCTTTTTTGTATAAATGTATATGTATGTATAAACACACATATTGCTTTTTTCATTTGGGAATGGAAAACTTTCACAGAAACTTTGAAGGAGCGTTCTCAAATTTATAGCATACTATTTTACATGGTAAAAAAGAACTCCATTTATGTTCACTTTCCCAATATACCATTAAGAAAGTCACGAAAATGAATGCAGAAATGAAGCTGAACTGGCATACCTGGAACTCTAGAAGAAGGCTTTTTTATGCAGAATGTAATTTTATGGGTTCGGCCTGTCTCTTGCAGTAAGTAATATAAACTGCGAACTGTAGCTGCTTCTCTTTTGCAGTCAAATTCAGTCA